CGGGCACGTCTGTCCTTTAATCCGGCAGGTGCATTGTGCGTGTTGTCTGCCTATCCTTCGACCGTCTTCATTGACCTTCTTTCCGCCCGGCCTGACATGCACGGCCAACTCGCTTTGCACCCCACTTCATTTGCAGCCAACTCTGCTAGCGTGAGATTGCGCAAAGAGTTTTCTCGCAAACCATGACTCAGCATCTCTGTGTTGCACATGTGGAATTCATAGAACACGATAGACAAATTGCGGCCCAAGAAACATGGCATCGGCTTGGTGAGTATTGTGTTCATCCTAGGGAATATAACTGACTCAAGGCTCAATAGGCGCTTACGTCCTTCGATCCATCTGCCTGAACCTGTTTATCGACTTTCTGGCAGACGAGGGCCCACCAACAACTAGCAATCAGCTCGTTACCACTCTTTGGACATGATTCGACCCATTCATGTTTGGCCTTGTGTGGCAAAGGCTTCGGATGACGAATGGCCTCTCGCTTTCAATGCAACGCTTGATGCTCTTGACACTTTTCCGGGCACGTCTCCCCATTACTCCCAGTGTCAGCAGGTGCATTGTGCGCGTTGTCTGCCAATCCTGCGATCGTCTTCATCGACCTTCTCTCCGCTCGGTCTGACGTGCACGGTCAACTCGTCTTGCACCTTATCTCACTTCGTTTGCAGCCAACTCTAGCGTGAAATCGCGCAATGAGTTTTCTCACAAACTATGATTCAGCACCTCTGTGCTGCAGATGTGGATTCATCGAACACGGTAGAGAAATTTCCGCACAAGAAACCTGGCATCGGCTTGGTGAGTACTATTGTCTTCATCCTAGGGAGTATATCTGACTTAATGCTCAATAGGCGTTGACGACCTTTGATCCATCTGCCTGAAGTTGTTTATCGGCTTTGTGGCAGACGAGGGCCCACCAACAAGTATCAATCAGCTCGTTACCACTCTGTGGACGTGATTCCGCCCATTAATGTTTGGCGTTGTGTGGCAAAGGCTTTGACCGACGAATACTACTTAGCTTTCAATGCAACATTTGATGTACTTGAA